CTTTCTTTGGGGGGGGGGGATGTATGTGGTAAATCAATCGGTAGCGACTCTGGAGAAGTAGCTAATGAACATATTTATCTCTGCGTTTAGAGATTGGTAGCCAAGTTGGATGCTTTGTCTAGAAGAGCTCGTTTTGTTTTTAAGTAAACTCATAGCATTTTTTTCCCTAAATCTCTGTCACTGAAAGATTGATGCTAGCTTACATTGATATTTTTTAAAAAATAAGCGTAACCTATTGTTGGTTTGTTGGACACAGCTGTCCGTTGTTACAGACTCGTGTTATTTACATGTATTGTACATAAAAGCCCAATTATATTGAATTGAAAGTTGATTTATATGTATGTAATGGTATTTTAATATGTTAAACCCATATAGCAATGCATAGAGCAAATGAAATTTACATTCCGCCTTTGAGCTATATATTTAATAGTACTGTACGATATAGTTGATGAATAATTCATTTTCTGATCTCTTATCCAGCTGAGTTATCTCTATGATTTCGGTTTGTCTGTAGCTCATTCAGTATGCATATAAAGTGCCAACAGTATACAGCCCTATAACTATACATGCTACATACTTGAATTTAAATGGATTTCACGAAAATAATAAAATTTACTATCTCCAATTCCTGGTCACTAATATTATTAAATTTTAATATCTTTGATTTTTAGGAATTTTGCAAAAGCAGTATGTGAACTGTCTCCGATTGACTTCCTCTTTCATTAATTCAATATCATGATAGTATTGACATACAATTTCAATTGATACTGATTATAATGAAAAATTCTAAAAAAGTTTTATTTTGAAACAAGTCGATGTCTGTGAGTTTTATTACAAAAAAGTGAATTCCCTTTAGAAGGAGTCTAATATCAAAAGTAGCCAATGAGGAAAGGAAATTCTCTCCAGTTTCCCTCTCCACGTTGGTATGATGTCCCCTCTTCAAGTAGTTTGATTAAAAGACATAAAATATAAAGTCACACTGGAGCTTGGTCAGTATGCATATTAACGAATGCTTAACGAGCAAGTAGAATAATTTTAATTACGTCATTTCAGGTATTTATGATAGTCGATTCGATAATATTTTTGAGTGCTCGTAATACTCATGTGCCCAATGGCACAATGAATTTGTGCAATTCCTCTAATCGACCTGTTTTATTCTATTTTTTTTTTCAGTGATCGGCATGCGACATGCCAGCGCCTAGAATGCGACCGAAAAGACTCTCTGGAAAAATACAAGAATTCTCACGGACGAATCCAGGGACTGTTTTAGTGCATGAAATAAAAAATATTAGGACATACGAGTGTAGTATGCTTGAATCGCGTGTGTCGTTTAATAATGGCGATTCCCCAATTGCGCGTCAGAGTCTAAGTCATCTGCGTTATGCAGAAAGGCTCGCTGTCAAGAAGGCAAATGAATTGCGGCTCGACACGTTACATGGCAGTTTGCGGGCCACGTTTTGTGACAAAAGGCGTAACGAACGTTGCTCTACCTTAATAGAAGAAAATGATCGTTGCCCTATACGCGATTCCCAAGACGATCGGCATAACCAACGCAACATTATGTACCAATATCATTATTCGCTGCTGACCGATACGAGTGAGAACTGTAAATTAGTGACTAATTGTTCCCGCGAGAAAGCGGAGCATCTCGGAGACAAGGCACGATGGCGAAAAGTTTTCAAGCTAGTATCTCCAAGTCAGTGTCTTTGGCGAGATCACTTCATATTTCTGATACTCGCCACTTTGCTTTGTGGATGCTACGCAGCTAATCCTAATCAGTGTGCGGTTGGACTCAAAACTCCCGGAAGTGAGTATATTCTTTTGTCTCTTTCTCTATTTCATTCATTTTTGAAAGTCATATGATTGTAAGTTGCATATCGCTTGCTGTGTACCATGTGTATTAACTTGTATCACATGTACCATTCGTAGCATTGCTAGCAGTGGCGCCAGGAAGGTAATTGGAGTCTAAAAGAACGTTGCATATTTCATTTTCTTAAGACGATATTAAGACTTCGCTTGAAGCCATCATAGATTGTCGTTTTGGAAGGTGCAGTCGCCCATCTTGCTATTGAATATCATAAATAAAACATAACCTCTTTTACTTGTTTTGGAATTCTACTAACGAGCTAAATGCATATATCTATATATAATTCAGTGCTACCCGTAAAGTTGCCGCAAACATCTACAGCAACGCACGTATATTCATTTCGCAGAGTCCAATAAATGCGATGTCAGATATGTTCCTAAGGAGAAATCTTTCGACGCGAATGGCAACTTAAGGAGATTAAGACGCCTGTATTTTTAACACTCGTTTTCTTCAACTCTAGGAACATGGCCCCAAGGTGACATCGTCTTAGAGTATGGACAATCTTTGACAATTCTCTGCATGCTGAACAAGACATTTATAGACGGCTACTTTCCTGGGAAGAATGCCTCGGATTTGGTATTCTTTAGAAACAAGAAAGAAATGGAACCAGAGTACATAAGCATCCTCAACGAGACAACGATTTCCTTGTACGTGGAGAAGCCACCACCCGCCGAAGATATGTATTATTGTAAACTGAGGCTGAACAGCAAGGAGAAGCTTCACGAAGCTGTATGCCTGAACAAAGTCGTCATAGGATGTAAGTTATTCATTTTTTAATTCGCGTGTTGAATCTGAGATTTTGAAAAGGGATTGCCATCTGCAATCCACAGGAAGATTGATCCAATGTAATGTCTTTACAGAAAATCTATCGGTTCTAAGTACTTCTTTTATAATACTTATCCTTATCGGTTTGGGTCAAAAGGTGTTCCAGAGAGACAAGACTCTTGCTTCATTAGTATTTATTATTATGTGACCTTATGCGATTAGCATTTCTGATTCACGTATTTCGAACTACGTATACGGCTACGAACTACGGCTTTCTACTGACATGATACAAAACCAGTCAGCATCGAGAATCTTATCAGAAATTGCTATTCATCGATTTCCTGAGAAATGTTGTGTCCGTACAACTTTTTTCAGATACGCAAGACTATCTCACTGTTTCATTCGAAATCTCCTAGATCTTGCTTATCATATTCTCTGTAACTGGTATGCTTTTTTGAAAATGTCTCTCACAATCGTTTTCCCTTAGAGTTTCCGGGAAAGAATTTTGCATAAGATAGACAATTGCATTGCTATGTACTGATCTTTATCAGGTAATCGAATAAAATTTTTAGGCGTCGTAAACCGTTACAGCACGTTTTTCTAAATGGTTTTTAAAATCGTCACCCTGATTTTTTTTTTCAACTTGATTACGACCAGTGATATTGAAAAAAAAAAAAAAAGAGAAAGAATTTAAGAGAATGATAAGAAAAAGAAAGGAGTAAAACACTATCCTCGACTTTCCTAGTAGCGGCGTTTCAACTAAAACGCACCTTTAAATGCTTTGTGCAGCATCATTCTAAAAGATTATAGCCTCTTTCCATCGAGGACTATAGTCAGTTTGGCTCTATTCATTTTACTTAACTACGTGGAGTAATATTTTCTTGGTACCTCGCACCGCTGGCTTATCTCTTTGATATCTGGCGTAAATAAACATAACAAGGAGGCAGGATCGTCATCCGTCGATTGACAGAAGTTCATTGTAAAGCTGCAATTCATTTATAAAATTGACCAATACAATACAATGGCCGAGCCATGAACATCAAGTGTTCATGAATATTCGCATGAAATTTTATTTCAATTGCGATCCGTCAACTGGCCGATCGTAGTTCTGCGAATGATGATATGAAAGGCAAGAAAAATAGTAAACGTTAGAGACGTTCCTCTTTGCGTCGAATGAAATGATGGAATGAATGACGATTAAAGATTCTTCGTCTTAGTTCTTTTTAGTTGTAAAATTGCCCAATGGTGACCTAGGGTAGACAGTTGCCGCCGTAGAACCTGTTTCTCAGAGGTAGATACATGCCTGGCCAATAAAATGTCTCTCGCCAAGAGTTTTTACGAGCCATTCGACAATCAGGACTCGAAAAAGCAAGCGCATTGTCCTGCCCATTGTCGGATATCGGCTGACAGTACGATAGTAGAAAATAACAGATTGGATATCGCGTGGCCTTCTAAGAAACACCAAGTACACGCGTTCCAATTAAACTACAAGACATCGACATATGCAATGTATGCAGTTCTGTGCCAGCTGCGAGAAATGGCAATGCCAATGACTAAATAAGCAATAGGCAGTGCTGCAAACTGCACTTGTAGATGTTCACTTTTATCGTGCTAATCAAATGTTTGTATTTAATATAGTCAAACCGCAGGAGCCACAAAACTTCAGCTGTGTTTCCTACAATTGGGAGAGCATGAAATGTTCTTGGGTTCCGGTACAGAATTACATAACCACGAGATTCTCTCTCGTTTTTAAATTGCCCGGACGAGCTGGTGGACGAAAACTATATCCTTGTCCTAAAGAGACTCAGACAGCCAATACGTGTCTCTGGGATACTTCGACAAATCCAATCTACAGACAGCCATATGAGTACTATACGTTTATACTTAATGTGGAAAACGTATTGGGAAGTATCAACGTCTCTAATAGGGTTCATCATTACGCGCATGGTGAGTTAAGTTCACGACAGTTAGTCGAGTGCAAGCTATTAGTGACGGCTCCTGGTTCGATTATGGTTCCAGTATTTCACTTGTGTGGAACTTGTGCATTTAATTAAAATTATATCTTCGTTGCGCATTACAGTAATACCAGCTAAACCAGCGAATCTAACGGTCATCAATAAAACATCAGATAGCGCATTATTACACTGGAGCGTACCGTTTCCTATGGGACATTTTCCGCCTGGACTGCATCACAGAGTCACTTATCAGAATAAATGGGATCGCCTAAAGGCTTGGCAGGCAAGTATTCCGTTGGTTCTAATGCAGTTGCATGTGATTAATAAAATATTTGCAACAAGTTGAGGAAATCCCTTCGTAGGCAGATAGAGTGTCAGGGATATTCTACTTAGAAAATGAAAAAATATGTATAAATAGCGAAATGGCGAAATGGCGAAATGGCGAGACAGCGAGATTAACGTCATCAATCTTAGTATTTAAGTGTTATGAAAACTTTAATAAAAGTTAGTCTTTATTGAGCGGTCGTCATTAGGGGTTCTCAGAATGAAATTTCTTTAGTTCTATGAATAATGTCAATAGTGCATCACTTTTAAAATTGATACGCTTGATTTTCATTATCGATGCTTGTAAGTCGGACCATTAAGAAATTCTACTAACCTTCCTATTTTATATCGTATTTCATTATACTTATGCTTCTGTTTGCAGATTATTAATATAACTAGTGACATTCACTTGCACAAGAGATACTTTAATCTGACAGGACTTCGGTATGCGAATACGGCCTATGACGTTAGAGTTTTTCTAAAGAGTGCATTGGCGATAGGAGAAGACAAATGGAGTAAATTTAGTGTGATAACGTTTAGAACGTCCCCGAAGTGTGAGTATATATTATATAAAGAAGGAATTAACGATATACCAAAATATTCAATATTATTTTCAACGTTGCCATCACCTTGACCTTCTTGTTTCCTCTAGTGCCTGGTCTTTCACCGCGGATCGACATTGGTAGCTTCGAACTCGTTGAAAATAACGGAAACCGTGATGTTTTTCTATATTGGCAAGCGATTCCACCGTATTTGGAGAATGGCGAAAATTTCAAATATCAGATATCACACGTAGAAGAGAATGGGCGCAAAGTAGATCTATCGCCAATTGAAATAACGAGAACCTATGCGAAATTTAAAGAAATTCGATTCAATAATTATCGATTTGAAATCGTCACTGCAAATGAAGTTGGTGCTAATAAAGAAGGAGCAATGATTTTTGTTCCCAGTCAAAACGAAAGTAAGTTTTACCGTTTTTCAGGAATAATATTTATCAGGATTTTAATATTCGTGTTTGATCATTACAAATTTTCATGGTCACTAATTTATCATTTACAGTTCCACATGAGCCAATCGCATTCACTAAAATTGCTTTCGAGGGAGGTCTTTATGAACTCTCATGGAAGCCCCCTAATATAAACGCAGAAATCACGAATTACACAATTTTCTGGTGTGAAGATCATCGCGATCGACCTTATCAATGCGCAGTAAGTTTTTGCATATCATATGGCATCTGCATCAATTGTTACAGGTAATTTGTGATCTAGAATTTTTAATAAAATTTCAGGGTTACCTAGATTGGGTACACGTGCACAGGAATACAACTGTCTATAATATGACTGTACCAGATCCACTAAAGGTTTATCAATTCGCGATATCTGCGAATACAGAGAGAGCAAGTAGTGGTATGGTATGGGCTTCGTGTACAGTAATACACAGTAAGGTTGTGGGTAAGATGAAATCTGTCTGGATAAATCGCATTGGCTCATCTTTCATCGAAGTCGGATGGAAATTGGAGTGTTCCGATCGAATTGGTATTGTTGAGGGATTCAATATTTATTACTGTCCCATTATGTCACCTTACAACTTGAATTGCAAGGGTCCCAAAATGAATACAACTATCAAAGGTGATCCTCATACGATTCATGGCTTAGTGACCGGCTTAAAACCATATACAACCTATATGCTCGCTGTGGCGGTATTAACAAAAACTGGAGAAGGTCTGCACAGTGATCCTTTATATAATACGACAATGGAGGCGAGTCCAGCGAGTCCGCCCCAGGATGTAAAAATTATGAATGTTACGAATTCCACGATGTATATTACTTGGAAGAGGCCGGATGCTATGAATGGCGTATTACGTTACTATGAGGTCTATTACAATTCTTCCTCGCGGCAAGTCGAGGAAGCTGATTATGTTACCCTCGAAAATCTCAAAGCTCATGAGTATTATAATATCAGCGTGGCTGCGTGTACCATCTCGTGTAGCGCTAGATCACCGCCGATTTATACGGTTACGGATATTGGAACTCCTGGAATGATTAACGTGCCCAATATAAGATTTATGAATTCCAGTCAAGTGTCAGTTCTGTGGAATAGACCCGAACATCCTGCAGGACCTGTGGATTATTATCAGATATGGTCGAATGACGGTGAAATTCAAAACAGTACAAAAACAGGTAAGGAAAATAATGTAAATCTTTATTGCGCGCGGTGCGGTTCTGTGGATCGTGAAAGTAAGGCGGGTTCGAGCAAAAATCGTTGATGATTTGATATAGGAAATTAGTTAGGCAGAATAATAAATCAGTAAACATGAGTTTTATTAAAGATTGATCCCAATTGAAATGCGGAGATTGATTCTATCTGGCAAAGAAGGCGGCTTGGCTCTTTCCTAATACGGTTTCGTTGTGACTTGTTTCTATGTTTCAAGATGTCCTATCTAACGCAAAAGTGGCAGAATGCCTCGAGTTTGGATTTCATGCCGTTTATATATCCTCGAAGATTGGGCCAAGTGCTCTTTAAATGGTGCGTTTTATGCGATTAGACGTAGGGATGTCTGTGCATTGTTACTGGGGATAGCGAAAGTTATTCGAGTTAGCGGTACTTTGTTACTATGGTGTGAATATTATTCGATGCACCAGTTGCATATGTGCTTATCAAATATTCTTTTTCTTTCATTTTTTTTTTCAGTCTTTTATCATCTACTTCTTACGTCATTGAAATGTATTCTTGTTGTCTTTCACAGTCTTTTGTTTGCATTACAGATACCGAGATACCTGTTCCTGACTGCGTAACGTTTGGCCGCAAAAGACTGCATCAATTTCGTGTACGGGCTGTAAATATTGCAGGCAATAATACTCATTTGAAAGGTCCTTGGTCTCTTCCTGGAGAAGGCAGCTGCTACTTTGGCGGTGAGTCTTTGGTCACGTCCATGCCCTTGATAAGAAAGTAACTATTTTTAATATTATAATGAAAAATTGTATTCACTTTGTATACAGGGCCAACGCTTACAGTTATTATTATAATTGGGGTTATTGGTGGATTCAGCTTGATAGTTTTCCTTATTTGTTTGACGTACATGTTTAAGAGGTAAGATCGATCGTAGTTTTTAAAGATTCTAAAAATCTATTGTTTGTCTTTATAATTTATTTTATTGTATTATTGATTTTATTATGTAGAATGTGGAGAAGATGTAAAGATATGCAGGACGTGGAAGTGAAGCTGCCGCCAGGACTCGCACCGAACATGGTAAGGATCGTATGTAATAAGATTTTTTTTACCAAGTCTGCTGTATATGGACAAAAGACATTAAATGCTGCAGAAGCTGCTCCAGAAGGTCGGTGAACAGCATACTCGTCAATTGTCGGCGGATTCGAGCGGATGTTCCAGCGGTCAGGAGTCGGTGACTTCGTCTCTGACATCAGATTCCCATGTATCGACCGATAGTGGCGCAGACGTCGACCCTGCACCTGTGTCGCCTAATAAACTACTGGAATCGCCGCCTACTTGGGAATCGTCAAGTCTGCGGCAGCGTAATGTCACTACTTCGAGACCCGCCATCATGATGGAATCCGCACGGTGGGATCCTTATGTTAAAGTCGCCAAGTCGAGTGATCCTGTACTCGCGGACAGTCTTTCCTTGGCTCGCTCAACTCCCAACTTGACAGATAGTACTGGCTACACGGCGTCTCAGCAGACTTGGTCGTCAACTGGGTACATCAGCATGCCCTCTTACGAAGAACTCTCCAGCAATCCAAGTCCAGTTCCTAAGGAGAGCCTCAAAGTGGGTGGTTACAGCATAGTGGGAATAGCTCCAGTAGAATCGGTACACTCCAAGCCTGGAGACGATACCGACGCGGGCAATTCTCTTAAGGGTAACTTGCTAGCCATCAGCAAGGAGGATTACAATCCTATATATCCCTACATTAGCTTATCCTCACTGGATCAGAAACCAAAGCCGACAACAATGGATGCTTTCCGTGATCTGGAAGACCTTGCTTTCGCCAAGGTATCTTCCAAGAGCAGCCTCGAGGATTTGGCACCTTTCTCGATATCCGACAAGCTCTCACCACCGATACCTCAACTCTCAAAATCTTACGTCCAGACAGGCCTGCTCGACACCACTACTAAGCCACTTTCCACGAGTACTTTAATAGAACCTACACAAAGTCAAATAACGAAGGCGTCTGCTCTGGTGCCGATGTCACTTGCGGATACGAGAAACCTGTCCCTCGTCTCCACATTATCCAGCTCTACACCGTTAACACAATCCTTTGTGAATTCGTCCACGAAACAGCAGCCTTACGTAATGATAGCGTCGATCCCTGACGTCAAGTGTAAAACTGCGATTGGTTCACATACCCTTAAGTCGCAACAGACGCAGCCGTCTCAAAAGCCATACGTACCTGTCAGTAGTAACACGTCAGAAAGTATAGGCAAACCTTATGTTTCAGCACCTACAGTTTTTCAAATGCTTCAGCAACAGCAACAGCAACAGCAACACCCTCATCATCATCATCAGCAGCAGCAGCAGCAGCAGCAGCAGCAGCAGCAACAGATAGAAAAGACAGAGGAAGAAAATATTTCCGATGTGGACGACAGTGAAATCGAGGATGTAACACTACCAAGTGATTCTTCGTATTCTTTCTGCTGGGAGAAGGGTCAGCCGGAACTCGGTGAGAATTTAGTTGCGGGTTTAGAGAACCTTCAAGTTCCTGTTAGCAAGCAGAGCTCCGGTTACGTGACAATCGCGGAGAATCCCAAGTTAGAATCGCAACAGACATCTATGAAAATTTCCTCGCCATACATGCAGCATCAACGAGTTGAGAAAGGAGTGCCACAGCCGAGTTTACCAGAGTCCCAATCGGCCGATGAACAATATAGTAAAGTGACAGTTGTACCAACTACGATACAGTAAAGAATCTGAATCCTTTTACTTGTGAGAAACGTAGCTAAAAGGCCGTTACGTTACCGAGATTGCTATAATCTGCTGCCATCCTCATATTTTCACCTTGTCATCATCCTCATCTTTATAGTCGTCATCTTCATGCTTAAAGGTAAATTATAGTAAGTGAAAATCTGAGAAGTGCTACGAACTAATTCTCATGTGAGTTTGCCATAATGTGAAAAAGAAAATGGATGCAACGATGTTGGCTCACGGTGTCATACGATGTTTCATCTTGGTCATTGACACGGTGAAACGCTTCTTTTCGAAAAGTTTCTATTAAAGCGTCATAATTTTTGAATTTTCGTAGAGCCTACGACTAGATTAGAAACAAAAACTATACGCGAAGGTTTAACGATAAGGTCCGAGGGTAACTAAATGGACGCTAGGCGTCTTTGTTTGTTAAAGAAAGTATGTACAAAAGGAAAAATGATTGTATCACATAGTGTACGATGCGAAGAGATAAATAGTATGATTTTAGGAGTAATATTAAGTTAGGTTAGGTAAAGTTAAGTAAGTTATATTGGGCGCGCCCAACGACAATCGAAGGAACAATTTTGAGAAATGAAATGAATGAAATGAATTTTGAAAAAGTGAGCGCTCGGCCTAACGGAATATTCGTCTCTAGCCAATTGTAATATTATAATTATCCTCCTTAGTTCGTCCTTCTAATTCGGTTCGTCATGTTTTTGGCAATTTTAATTTTTCTAAATCTTTCAAATATTCGAATTCTTCCGCAAAGGTTCATCCTGAACGCTGCGTACTGTAGTCAAGTATGTTTGAAATTGAAGGAGTTTGAAAAGCCTTGCATCTAATGGAAGTGCAATCACCTTTCGTGTCTTGGACTTTTCATTTCTTCGCGGTCTAAAATTCAACTCGTGTCTATTTAAGTATTCCTTAAATTTTCATTTACACTAATGAAGTTATCATTGGAGCAATTCCCTCTCTTTTCTGTACATAGAAATAGAATTGTTTCACGTTGTTGTGTCCTGAAATTTATCACTGTACATCTCTTTTCTCTTAAATAGGAAAAGTTAGTTTTTATTAGCTTTTCTTGGACCATCATTAAAGGGCGCCCAGGATTGTCATGAACAAAAGTAAATTCACGTCTTATTGGGCAATATGTCACCGACGTATCTTACGTCTAAAATATAAGACGACGAAGATAGTCAAGGCATCAACCTTCATTTAAATCTAAGTCTAATCCTAACCGACTTGTTAGATTTTTTAAATTTAATTCGCACGCTTGGAGAACCGTTTTGGAGGATAGAGGGAGTAATCTTAGGAGACGATACTGTCCATACGGTTGAATATCTATATATATTTAAAAAAAAAAGCAACAATGAATCATCTAATGCCATTACGACATTTTTCTTTTTTGCGGTACCAATGGCTGAAAGGCTAGACCTACGCATATGCCCATAGGAAGGTCTGCTACTTGCTGTGCCACTATGGATATATGTACGCGCGGGTACGTGCATAATATCATAAGCTAGTCATTGAAACGATATACACGAGTCTACGCGATAGACCTTTTTTTCTTTTACTCGTATCAGCAACTGCTGATGCCTCTTACATTATTGCCATTGATTAGTCCTTTGTGATACTTGAACAATTTATTTTCTATTCTTTTCCTCCTTTTAATATTTCTACACGTCCAACAGAGATTTGTATGTTTATACGTGTCCACTAACTTGTATAAAACGTATGCTAGAGATAGAGCTGATATTCATGAAAGGTCACATTTCCTGCATCTACATTGTAATTGGATTCTAATGACTGCAGATATCGTGCACGTTGTCAGGCAGCACAATGACAATCTGAACGAAGGGCTAATCTTCTGTTTTTAAAAAAAAAAAGGTCTGGAGCTTTGACAACGTTAATTGTTCTGCAAGTTCTCATCATGGCTCATCGCGACACAATGGGCGACAATAATGGTTGACTACAAAAGTTGACTTTGAAATGAAAATGAGGAATGTGCGAGACGTCGCTTTAGACATACGCGTAGGCGTAAGAATCAAATGAGACTATTTTTAGCGATGAACCTGGAAAAATCGATTATTCTCTGCTGCGATGTGGACTTGCTATCTTTGCGTACTGGACTCGTCGAAGTCTGGCGAATGTCACGTGACTTTCGTAGGACTCGTTGCCCGAAGGAAATATGAAATGAGAGTAGTGAGAGAGAGAGAGAGAGAGAGAGAGAGAGAGAAGAGCGAGCTTACGTGTACTCGGTAAATAAATATTACTGTTATGGAGAAGAAAAATCGCCAATATTTAATGTGTATTTTGTAGTACGGAATTGCTACCTGGTTTTTACACGTGCGCATAGTGACTCCTGTGCGAATTGAGGTGGCGCTTATTATTCGAGAAAATTGAACGTGGCAACGATATAAGGGCAGTTTCTCTATGAAGGAATTTTGTAATGGAAGGATAACGGCCTTAGTCGCACAGAAATCACGGTCGCTTTAAATGATACTATAAGGTTAACTAAACATATATAATTTTTACGTTTTACATACCTCCCACTGTACATACGCCTATCATTATCTATTTTTGTTATGTATTTATAAATGAAAAAGAAATACTTTATCGCACGCGAGAAACACCTTAGGTTACATTTTTAAGAGAAAATTATTAATTTAGATTAAATATTATGATTATCGCTGAGTTATATGTCTGAATGTAAGACATATTACTGTTGCACTATATTACACAATTTATAATTCTATTAACTGATTTTTTGCCTTATTAGAGAAGTAGTGAGGCAGGAAATTAATTTGCCTTCACCTATGATTTTTATGTAATCAAACAATTTTTGTAACTTAGTTGATTAGTGGATATATTTGGAGTCGCGTCTTATCGCGATGCTTATCTAATTTTGATGTTATTCTCTTTGAAAATCGGTATCGGTATCAGGAGCTAGCTCAGCGTACTTCGTAAGGGAGTCTCGGGAATGGCACAAACTGACTAAACTATATAATAATTATTCGTATTATTATTATTATTATTATTATTATTATTATTATTATTATTATTATTAGTTTAATAATAAGTGGTGTTCGAATGCGCCATTCGTCCATGAACAATCAATGCAGTGTGAAATTCAATCAAAATCCAAAATTGCCGTCTGACCTTCTATGGCGATCCAGCTATAATGTAATTTTCAGATAATACGACGAGACAATTTTTTGGAATCTTAAACTGTGGAATCTTAGAAAAAACGAACTGCAGGACTTCTGCTAGATCTTTACTACCTATAGTCGGTTTACAGGTTCAATGTGTTCAATGTATGATAGTTCGCAAAGAATGCAATCCTCAGCAAATTACACGTGGCTTTCAATAAGATGATAGAAATATATGTACAAAAATAAAAAAGTAAAGTATATATCAGTGCAAAGCCGTGCAAATTTATGCTACCAAACAGAAATTGTATGCAGAGCCATGCGTAACTTGCCCCAGGGACTTTATTGTTTTTTATCTGTCAAGAAAACACATTGAACTCGCGGACCGAGTTTATACTAGAAAAACAAGGAAGAAGAAAAAAAGAACTACCTAATGCAATCAGTGTGCAATGACTCGTGGAGCAAATGATTTACGTGCGTGTGCGTGTTGTAACAGAGATTCTTTTACCATTTAGATATTTATACAGCCTATAGGCGGGATGAAGGGAAGCAAAAGTGAAAGTTGAAATTACGAAAAAATAAGACAGGAAGAAAAAAATAGGTTCGTTCCGAGCTCCCAATTGGTGCTGTTTTAATGTGTGGGCGAGATTGGTTTTATCTCACGACCGGTTTCTCGACAAAATATTAACATTTTTCGCAGATTCCTTTTCTGTCGACACGTGGCTTGCAAGTTATGTTATAAAACGTTCGCTGGCACCTATTGCTATTACAGTAGTACGAAAATTATAACAAGTATAACATATTAATACCGAGCTACTGTTTACTAATTCTAATCAAGAACCTTGTACAGATTATTGTAAAATATATTTTTACTACTTTTTTTTTTGTTTTATTATTTATACCGTACCGGCTACGGTACCTAAGACTATCAGGTCCAGAGGTATCGATATGTTCGAACCGAAGCACCCTGTATCATATACGTTAATATGCCGTCTTTGTTTCATTATGGCTAGCTTGATCGTTAATGATTCTTGAACATTACTTATTGATTGGTCCACTAGTTATCTTGCGACCCGCATCCCAATTCATCTACGATTCCATGAGGGTCAATACAGAAAAAAAAAATGGGTTCCCGAATCTTATGGTCCGATGATTTTATTGATTGGTTGATCTGTGTGTATCGTGGGAACGTTAGGAGAATCTAAAATTTTCAAAGCCGACATTGAATCCAGATTGTTAAGCGTCGCTGCTTCTTTGAGAACGCACGCGCGCGCTCTATCGTTAGTCTAATTTCTCTAATTGAGTCTAATTGAGATGTTGCGAATGACTGTATTGTAAATGCGACGTATGGTTTTGATGTCGTATATAACTTTCTATGGCAGTTGTATGTACTGTACCAGCCTCAAAAGGAGCATCGGGCTTACATGTAATTTACCTTTAGTGCTGTATCGTTGCCCATCGACGCATGTCAAATAAAAGACGCGCAATAATTTTTATCATCTTTCGTGGATATGCTAAATACCTTTAACATGTGCATTCCGCAAGTCATTTCCTTCTTTACTCTTTATCGTTATTCTTCCACCTAACTTTTATCTTAATTGAAATTCGAAATTCATAAAAGCTTCACTTTGCGATTCTATAATTATCAATAATATCTTTGAAAGTCCTATATTACACAATGATATTTATTTGACAGTGTATTCTCTTCCTTTCCTTGTGCGAGTATTCAATTCCATTTTGAACATTTTAGATTTATAAATCAATCTCCAAATTGTTCATCGTTCATTTAACGAGAGATTGTATGCCAAAGAGAGGATTGCATTCGTGAGAGTGTACTTTTGTGATCAATAGCTGTATTCCTTTTTCCCATAAAATCTATTAGTAACGTGCGCCAGGCAGTCATTAAAATTTGGCTGATTAAATTCATTCTATATAAAATCACGATCGTTTTATTAACAATGTAATTAAATATATGTATGCTCTTTATTTGCTCATGTCAATGGCAATCGCTGACCATCCACGCAAACAATAATATCTTTGGCAGCAAAGATGTTTGTTTGCTAATTCTCGCTGGGATGCGAAGGTTGCCTAACGTCGCGGTGGATCAAAAGTCAAACATAAATAAAAGAATTTCATTTCGAATGGAAGAGTAATACAGCATTACAGTGTACGTGGTACTTAACTTGACAGGTCAACTTAAAATCAATGTTTGTTAAATTAGAGCGTATTTATTTAGGCCTTTACCACGTACATCCAGAATGCGCTTTTTTTTCTTATATAATATAATCGAATGCAGATACCATGCGGAATTTCACCATTGAAAAATTGGATTGTACAGGCGATGAGATAGAGTGATTATAAGAAAACATCAAGTCTCCAAACAAAAGTGTAATTTTAAAAAACGGTTTTTGAATTTCACAGTGACATAAGTAAAGATACCTTTGTATATTTTCGCAAGACAGCATCATTTGAATGCTCTCTGAAATCTCGTTGCAAGGTTAACATGCATATTTATTAATTGCACAAATTTTTTGTTACAGGCGGTCTCTTATATAGATGACTTTTGTCATATAAGAATCGCATTTGGGGCTATTAGTGAGCGTTGGAAACACATTTAATTGAGGCCCCGTTAAAGCTACTGTATGCGATCGCTCGTGCTGCTAATTACAAACTCGTAATCACCACATCTGTGTGTTAAACCTTTTTTAAATCTTGCTAACTTATGCTCTCATGCCGAGAAGTTCACTCTGTCCATTGTATCGCAGTATGTATGTACATGTTTGAGACGACGGTACTCAGATGCACGATGATACGTATATCTTTTTATCTATAAGGTATAACGACCATTTGAGCGCGTTTTCATATTTATTTATAATACTGAACGGAATGGCTGGTGTGATTCTCTGTCTGTATATCAAAGGTTAATTAGATTTTTTTCTACAGATAAAATCGTCCACTCTAAGGTCCGTATTCATAGTCAGTACTTTGTCTTGAGAATATTCCTAAGTCCGTCCTCTACCACGTATTAATACCACACTTCGTCTCAAGCTGTCTTCATCTCTGACCGTGAATATGTGAAGACACACCGCTGCTCGCTCAATAATTAAATTATTAAGGTTTTTTTTTAGAATAATAGGATTGTTATTAAAAATAATATTAATATATGATTACAGTCAGCTGACGAATTTGTAATTCGCCTAACAGGCGTGTAGGCTCCTCCCTTTCCTTGAGCAAGCTAGACGTCGAATCAAAGTCTAGTATAATTTTATTTAGCCGCAATCACTAGAACTTGAATCATTTTTTAGTAGTAGCCTTAAATCCGTGTAATTTTTAGTACGAGTTACAATTGATAATTTTGTGACATCTAAATTCAATTAAAGGAAATAAAGATGAATTCGACGAAGATTCGGCTAAGATATGTGTAGTACAGGCTAAAATATTAAAAGAACAAGCAAATATGCGAGATTAATAATCACACAATGTGGAGTCGTAGTGGAACAAACTGAAAAAGCCCTGTGAGCGTTTACGGTGGGAAGATCAAATGAGAAATAAAGCTAATTACGTTAACGTTTAGGAGATTAAGAGAAGAAGTAGTAGTAGTAGTAATGGTAGTGGTAGTTGTAGTAGTAGTAGCAGCAGCAGCAGCAGCAGCAGCAGCAGCTGGTCGGCGGTGTCTCCGTTGTTTGACGTTTTCTATAAAACATTGTTTTGCGACGGAAGGTGGCAGCCTGATGCTATTTAATAGCTAGAAAAAGAAAAAAGAAAATGAATAACTACTATAGATACAAGGAGTCTCGAGAAATGTTGAAAAGATATATTGCCTTGTTGGATACTAACCGATAATAATTTGGCTTAAAAGGACCGGCCTTATTGAGACCCATATACTTTGCCTGCTCATCCGTTAGTTCTGTTAGGTGAGCGTCGAAAGTTGGCAGATGCAGAGAAGCCACGTATTCATCTGAATGAAAGTAATGTGTCAGTTACTCGATCGCAGAATCCTGTAGAAAGAGACTTCGCATCTTTGATTGAGAAAATGGCGTACCCATCTTTTTTGGCAGTAGGTAGACGTCGCTCTTGTAGCGCCCTGGCGGAGCATTAAAGAGTTCGATAAGTGCAAGAGCTTGAGTAGCAGCCGTGATGGAGACCACGAAAGACGGAATACTGGAACACGATAGGTTGACCAATCTGCCCTCAGCCAGGAGGACAATCCGTTTCCCATCAGGCCATATTACGTGATCCACTTGAGATCTGACCTTTTCCCACGTGAGATCAGGCGTGCGAAGACTGTTCTGTTGAGCGAATGGATATTCAGCTATATAGCGATAACGGCGAGTGATAAGAGAGATTCAACTCTCCATCAAAGTATTTTCAGAACTGGAGAATTCTCACGCACAATGTCTATCTCCGTGTTGCTGTGGCCCATGTTACAGACGACGCATCCGTTCTTCATTTTATCCATGTGCTCGCGGGTCACAACGTTCTTATTACCTGTAGCAGTGATAACGATATCGACGTTCCTGATAACTTCGTTCAGTTTCATCACCCGAAATCCATCCATACTGCAAGTAAGCAGCAGCTGGCGTTTAATACCTGGTGCAACCCACTCTACTAAAATTGTATTTACTTGAGGTTGCCTTACCTTGCTTGCAGTGCACAGATTGGATCAATTTCAGTGATGTATACGATACATCCCAAGCCTTTGAGGGCCTGACAACAACCTTTACCAACCTCACCATAACCACATATGACCACTTGTTTTCCCCCAAACATTACATCCGTAGACCTCTTTAAGCTGTAAAAAGACATGAATCGGGGAAACATTTGAAAGATTTGCGAAGTTCGGATTGTCTGTAAGATCTGCATCCCAAGGCTGGATGCATAAACGATCACGACAGCTGTTACGTAATTCTAAGATGCGATTCTCTAGTATGAAATAAGAATTCTTTGGTATGATCAATAAGCATCCCTCCCCCCCTCCCCTCCTGTATACAATATCAATGAACTCATACCTGTCTATAATACTTTCGCGGCAACTGTAAAGATTGTCGAATTTGGTCTTTGTCACACTGTCATTGACATTCATGGCAGGAACCGAGAGTTTACCAGCTTTGGACAGTTGATACAGCCGGTGTACGCCCGTAACGCTCTCCTCGACTATTCCTGCAACCAACGATCGACGCTCCTAGTTTTCAAGTTGGATAAAAAGTAGCATTAAATAATCCAGGAAGCAAGTCATTTTAATAGCGGCAGAACCTGCTATTCTTCGACATTCAACAATGGCATTACAGCAAGAGTATTGTATTTGGCTGCATGTTATTAGTCAAAGAGTATTGACTGTAAATATATTAAATATATTAATCTACAGTGATCGATCATCAATAATCCATTTTAAATCTCACCTTGAATCATCTTGAACATAGTGTTATATTTTTTGAGCATAAGATGCGTCGCGTCGCCTCCATCGTCCAGGATCATATTCGGCTGCCAATTCTCAGCCGCGACGCACTTGTCGATGCACCACCAGAAGTCCTCCTCCGTTTCTCCGCGCCAGGCAAATATTGGATATCCGGCGTGAGCCAGAGCAGCTGCGACTTCATTCTGCGTCGAATAAATATTGCACGCCGCCCATCTTACTTGCGCACCTAATTCCACCAGAGTCTCAATGAGCACAGCCGTCTGGGCATTAATATGAGTGCATCCAACGATCTTGGCGTTCTTCAATGGCTGCCAAATAGAAATGGAAATATATAGATTTACGGATGAATGATGCAAAGTCAAGAAATGATATGGAAGTGGTTAGAATTTGTGGAGGGATAGATTTTAGAGTCCTCTGTGTCTAGATCCGTATCTCTGTGCGTTTATCGTGTGAGGCACGAGAGACTCGAAGAGATACAGTGACGAGAGACAAGAGGCGAGCGGCCAGGTAAATTTGATTGATGATCACCTTATCGTCAGCAGCACGTTTGCGCAACGCCATAATTCCGGGCATCTCCTGCTCGGCTATCTCGATCTCACGGCGTCCAAATGCATGCTGATTTATATTGCGCACGCAGAAGTCATTGAAGCCCTTGTCCGTCTTTTGGATTTTCTCCCGCGGCGACACGTCGTCCTCGTCCGACGAGCTTCCTGTATAAGACGCTGAGGTACAACCGAACGCCAGAAAACGCGACATATTAGTACCACCGCAAAGCATGGATTATCACTCGTTCTTTATGCATCGCTCCCCGATTCATTCTTCTCCTGGATATCGAAGCGCAGCTTGCGACGATTTATCACGTTAACTTAACGTCAAGCAACATTCTGTCCAAAGATTATTAGCAAATGTTCCGCTCATGCTTGGCATTGCAGGGCCGGTCGACGGGAACGAGGAAAATTGTAAAAAGAAGACCGATCGCTCGAGCGGCCAATAACGAAGCAGCGCCGTTCGGATGCGCAGAGATGAGCAGAGATGATAGCGATTAGGATGCAGGACATGACATATGTATAGGAGACTGTAGAGCAGGAGCGGCCGTGCAGTCTCGCGCGAAGGGACGTGAGTTAGGAGGATTAGTGGTATAGGTGCACTGGAACAAATGGCGAATCAGGGAAAACTCTAATGAACAGCGAACGAACAGTGAACGAACGAACGAACGTAGAAAACCGAAGTAACGAAAGTAATAATACCAAAATCAACGTACTCATACCAGAGCTGTAGCTATCGGTGCTGCTGGCGGACAGAGAACGGCTCCGGTAGCGGCTGGACTTCTTCAGGGCCCCGGATTTCGATTCCTAAAAAAACGTCCAAAGTCTATTTGCGTTAGCAGCCCATTGGCATAGGCCGGATTGCTTCATTTTTTCCTCTACCGATGCAGAAGGACGATAAAAACGGAACAGAGCAAAGAGAAAAGAAAAATGTCAATAAACGCAACTCGTGAATGTTTGATGAAGAAAGTATTAGGAGCTTAATAGCGCGAATTAAGCTACGTGGATACTATTGTATTATTGTGGTACGTGCACGCACAGAGTTTAGATAAGCTTTATTACGTTGTTGATGCGAAAAGTCTCTCGTATAACGAACAGGCAATTCCGAAGTAAAGCATGTCATTTTCACTGGAACTCCAGCAATTCATAGAAATTCAATTATCTTGATCCCGAACGAGAATAATTTCAAGTCAACACACCACGCAAGTCTCATGGATATCTCTAGGATGTTCCACGTATGTCCCAGGGATGTCCATGAGATTTTGTATCGATAGGGAATGAGGACCAGCGTCGAACCGACCGGGGGATGGTGGTAAGAAAATATGGATCCTCGGGAAGATGAGGAGTAGGGTTCCTGATAAATGTATGAAGACGGACGGTTCGTCGCTGGGCAGCCATCGCAAGTATATCTATTATATGTACATCCATATACATTTTTACGAGAGCGTAACGCATCTCTCTCCAACTACATAGGAAGAACTAAAGCGTCCAGTGAAGAGATTGCCGAGGAGTGCGCGGGGCATGTAGTAAGTATAATTGGGCGTAGGCTGGGGTAGAAGGCTTGGTTCTTTTGTGTGTTCTTTTTCTTGTTGTTGTTCTTGTTGTTGTTGTTGCTGTTGTTGTTGTTGTTGTCATACGCAAATAATCTTACTTACTAATTTTGCTCTCGGGCCGTGAAAGGCATTATTTGATGCCTCTAGGCTCTGAAATCACAATAACCACCATATCATGATTCAAATGCACCAAATTCATGTATTCTGGTAGCATCGACCAGATTGTATGTAAGGATCTTTAGCAGAGAACAGTCTTACGTAATTCCCGCTAATCTTCATGTTTACGTTTATACGTAATACTGTCCCCTTTAAAAGTTTCAGATACTTTCGCGAAAAGTGTGAGGATACGAGGACAGTTTGCAAAGTGGATATCATCTGGCACATGTATTGTGTCGGCATGCGTGTCCAGTATGCAATTCTCTATATCACTAGGGTTGTGACGCGTCACTCGCTTCAAGCTGATTCTTCGTTCTATCATATGCATACGACAATCCTAAGAACTAACGCGAGAATAACGCTCCATGCGAATCAATGGTTTCGAACAATGGATGCGTCCGTCTCTAATATCTAATAGGAGAGAAGACAAAATGTATTCCTTATGGAGGGCGACAATTTAAAAAAGTTTTAACGAATTAGCTTGTCTGCGAGGATGTGACAAATAGAAACGGAATCTATTTGGCAATGAATTAACATTCCTCTAGAAATTTCCGCGAATATTTACAACAATAAATCTTGTTAATAAGCTTTCTAATTGTAAGATCACCTGTTCCTTCGACGTAGACATCGCGAGTAATGTTCAAAACACAACTGATTGACTAGTCGTAAATTTAAAGATTGATATCTCCTATGCTTAAAGAATCTCTTAAATCGACACACAATTCTTATTTAAATTCGATGTTGCTTATGTAAAATAAAAAGGACAGTCACCTATCGCATCTAGATATCTAATACACAATAGCTCTGCAGTGTCTGGTCAGGTCAGGCAAATGGAAAGTGAATCCAAGTGAAAGTTAGGAAAGAGAATAGTGTCTCAAGCAGTCACGATCTCACCGATAGTACGTACCCAAAAGTTAAATACTTATTCGCGTATCACCTGCGAGAACAGAGCCGATACGGTCCTCGGCATCAGTTTCCGTCTTACTGAATGCGTTGCGCTTAGAAAACACAATGCTTGTGCCTCGACAGACAGGCTGATCACACTTGAGATGCATGAGCTTCCCTCCTGCCCCCCACCCCCGCCCTTCGTTCTTCATCCAGTCGAATGCACTTGCAAAGCAGCCATCTATTCTTTTTTGTATCCTGAGCAACAAAACGATCCATCCATCACACGAGTCTCTGCCCGGTGCGATTACGAGTAATCTATTTTTATATAAGACTCCTGTACTATGTATCTCTTTCCTTACTTTTCTCAGACTCCTATTATAAGCGGAAAACCTGCACAACCGTTCAAAACAAACATACACATATATTAACTTGAGTAAATAATTCACATGATATTGAAATCTGTATTACAATCTTACACCGCATAGGAATATCACTTTCAGGAACAGTAATCCAATCCATTTTGCGAGGACCTATGTATTCATATTTTATGCTCTCAATCGTCTAAGGGTCGTGAATACATACTTCTGCGGTCCTGTTATCGTTTTTATTCACCCTGTTTTTTTTTTCTATTGAAAATTACTCATTCGGTAGTAAAGCCTGTTCTCAAGCTAATGAGACAGTCGTAACTCTTTGAATTGAGGAGTCTTTAGTTAACTACCTGAAAATATGTGAAGTGAAACCCTTTGAGTCGTTCTACAATCTACAATAAAGAAACACATGCCTTTACGTTTGTTATTGTTCCGATGTCATGCGAGTTATGTAACGAGGACATATAGCTCGAGGAGCGACACAAGGTCTCCGCGTAGAGAATAATGCAAAAAAGCTGTGTCGAAAGTCAAAACGAAACTGGAGCAACGGGGACGCGTATCGTACGTATCCATGATAATAAAGAAATAAAATACAGATAGACTTTCAATCAAGGGAAAGAAAATGATGAATGAACATTTATCTACAGGATACGCAGTGAATGTAAAATATTAAAGCGTGACTTTCGGATGTCCTGTCATAATTTTCTATGATTTTTACCGATAAGTTTAATTGGATTCCCATACAAGTACTGTTCTAAGGGATTGTTGCTGTCTGTAGCTATTCGTTGATTGGCAATAAGAGTGATCGCAACGAGATCGCAAACTGATGGAATCAAGATCCTAAAGATATCGGAGTGATCATAACGTTCGTGGCATTAATGGCATTGAGAGGAGATGTCACTTACCTTGATGCAGGAGGCCGGATCTGTGACAGGTCCATCAGTAACTGCATTTCTACCATCCTTTCCAGAAGACGTGCTGTTCACACCGTCCCCGCTGTCAGCCATCTTTAACAGTACTAGAGCCGATCAGAGCGGACTAAATGGGACTAAAGCTTCCTAGTGTTCCGCGCTACTGTCGGATGGCGTTGGACGACAGTCCTGCGAGTCACAACTCACCAGGCTCGTGATAATCGGGCTCTTCCAGACCACTGCAGATAGCGATGACCAGCGATTACTGGCGGCTGAACGCGGCTCAATCAGTCCGAGTGAATGGTGGGATTTTATCTTGCCTGAATTGCATTTATTAATTATTCCATTTGCGCTAATATATTAATCTTTTTACATTAAAATATTCCTTGGTACTCCGTGTTCCTGAAGAATGGACGCTGATTCAGGATCACAACTTAGAGTGCAGACTTAAAGATATATTTCAGTCTGATTTACATTGATTGTTTCTGTTTAAAAGGGCAAGTAGCATAGAGTTTTATCATAATTTCCCCATTATCAAGTTCTTCAGTGAGAATCTTATCTCACGGCCCTGAGCTTTCGGGCAACACTGGGAGCACTACCCAAGTTGAAAACATGAATCTCCGTGTGTCCACTGGTGCCCACCCACCAAGATGGCTCCTTTACGGGGCAGCACTCGATATTTGACTTGAAGTTATTTACATGCCTGGATTTTAACGTGTCCTGAGGTGAACCGCACAAATTCATCGACAGTGAGTCGTGCTTTGAAAAATCGAGAAAGAGTATGGTGTGTGATACTTGAACGAGAAGAAAGAGGATTAGTTGGAAATCGCGCGAGACGACCGGCTGGCGTGCCAGACAGCACCAGACAGCTCGGTAGAGAGTAATAATATCCGTACTTTCTTCATACGAGCGGCCCAATTTCTAAGGTATCATAAGAACTTCTTTAAGCATTTTCAATTTTGCCAGACGGACGGAATGATTACTTTTCATTTTCTTCTTCTTGTTTCTTATACTCTGTCTCCTTCACTTGGCTTCCGTGTATCTATTGAGACCTGCCACCAGTCCGCTTGGACATTTTTTCCAATAGCTACCACGATATTGGCTCTGCTTGTGTACAATGCATATTGATCTATTCGTAGCTGTCATTTCGATATACCTAATGTTATTTTTTTTCACCTTAAAGACTATAAGCCATCGGCGAGTCTACCCAAAATTAACGATAAAGAATCGTGGACGAACTGTAACACAAGTTTTGGGCTGTAGCTCAAAACCACTGTGAAATGTATATTTTCGTTTTTTAAACGTAATTTATTTCTTTTTACATTAATAAAAGAGCAATTTCTCTCTTTTTACTCAGTTTTTTCTTGGAAATATTTTTTTTAGAATGCATGTATTTTTTACATGTTATTGGAAATACAGAGAAGTGCTCTGACGATAATCCAAAATTTTGTTGCATCTGAGAATATGTCTAGTAATTAAAGAGGTGTCATTAGTCTGATCTTTTAGGATCATTCGTTTTAATTATTGCCTAGACTTTCTGGAATATTTGGAGAATATCAAAAATCTATGGATCACTTGGAGTGTTGCCTTTCTTGTCAATACATTGTATGCTTCAATTACATTTCTCAATTGATATAGTATAAGAATGAAGAATTATGACTGATACTGACATGAGTACTTTTTGTGATTTCCAGATAAACAGTGCCATTCCAAACCACTATTGCTCACAGCTGTGCTAAAAATTGTAAACATAACAATTAACCATAAACATAGCATTTAATATCCTGGACATCATAATTAATAATATATAGCGATGTCATTTTTCACTTGTGATTATTAGTAGCTGTTAAGAAAGGTATATCATAAAAGATACATACGATACAATTGACTGGCTTTCATATGTATATGTTTGCAAACTTGCAATAGGAATAATCAATGAATTTAATAACCTGTAATGTTATACAAACATTTGAAAAGACATAGAAATAGTAAAGACGAATGAGATAGAACATCTCGTTTCTTTTTTCTTGAAGGCAATGTTACCAAAAGAGATCTGCATTGATTTTTATATGAAACTTTAAATAATGAAATTGTCAGGTGGTTAATGTAAGGTTTTTGTTTTTTTTTTGACAAAATAAAGTCTTTAAAATTGGAAGTATACTCTCGTCAGGCAAAGTATGTCAGGATGTTCTGAGTAAGGTCAATGCATGAAGTTGCACAAGTACAGTAATTCATATCTTTGACCCTTAAATTTCTAACTTTGGCTCGGGCACTATTTCGAAAATGGCACGAAAATCTGATAATGTCAAGAGTATCAACGTCGCCGTTGTCGGCCTCTCTGGGACAGAAAAAGACAAAGGTCAGGTCGGCGTTGGCAAGTCCTGTCTCTGCAACCGTTTTATGCGTTCCCTTAGCGATGACTATAATGTAGACCACATTTCCGTTCTGTCACAGGTAATTGCTGCTATCTTTAAATAATAGATAATAATCTTATTAATTACAAGGGCGCAACTACATTTTTTTAAAATTAATAATTCACCAACAACGAGCCTATGGATTTCCCTGCATCTTTTTAGTCGGACTTCAGCGGTCGCGTCGTGAACAACGATCACTTTTTGTATTGGGGAGAAGTGATGAAGTCGACAGACGATGGGACGGATTTTCAATTTCAAGTAATTGAACATACAGAATTTATCGACGACGCCTCCTTCCAGCCATTCAAGGGTGGAAAAATGGAGCCGTATTCCAAACGATGCGCAGCTACAAAAATTACCAGCGCTGAGAAGCTCATGTATATTTGCAAAAATCAGCTTGGCATTGAGAAAGAATATGAACAGAAAGTCTTACCTGACGGGAAGTTGAATATCGATGGCTTTCTATGTGTCTTTGACGTGAGCGTTGTGCCCAACCGGTCAATTGAGAAGCAAGTTGAAATTGTGGCGAATATTTTGAACAATCTGATGAAGACCAAGAAACCGATGGTGCTGGTGACGACGAAAAACGATGATGCTAACGAACAATACGTGAAAGAAGCGGAAAAGCTTGTGATGCGAAAGGAGTACAAAGGCTCGATCTTGATGGTTGAGACTTCCGCCCATGAGAATATCAATATCGACGTGGCCTTTATGCTGCTTGCGCAATTGATTGACAAAACAAAAATGCGCAGCAAGGTTACAGCATTCGCTGAAGCGGCCAAAGCCAGGAAGGAACTTTTGGACGCTTCGACGGAATCATTACAGAGGCTTATTCGGATACATGTTACCGATTATCGTGCGCTGTGGTCTCAAGCGTCGAAGAAACTCGCACAGCACAAAGAATTTACAACCTTTGTTGAACTATTTGGTATTGATGAGACTCAGAGACTATTCAGGAGACACATTAAAAAGTTAAAGGACGAGCAAGTAGCAAAGAAGATTCAGGGATACTTAGATATGTTACCAGATGTACTGCACGAAATATGTCCAGATATATCCAATCTGATAAACGAGTAAGCAAGAATATCTGCATTTTCAGATTCTTTATTTTTTATTTCATCCTTTTTTTTTCTAATCCCATTCGATTTTATTCAGGGAATGGTCAATTGTACAGCAGTATATAAAGGAACATCCAGATTTTCATCAGTACTTTTACGAATGTCCTGAGGATATACCCTGGATTGATTATGATTTTGGTGAGAACAATAGCTCAAAGATACCCTACGATGTCTTAGAGACACCAGAAGCAGAAACAGTATTTAAGAACCATGTGAATGCTTTGCAACAAGAGCAACGTAGACTCGAGTAAGTTTCTTGCATCTATTCAGACCTTTTGTTTATTTCTCATTTGTTGGCAGTTAGATTTCAAATGGAATTATTGTCTGATATTTGGCTTTTTTAAACATTTGTTACTTTAATAGTTGTAACTCTCACTGTTTTATAATTATACTCTATCAAGAGAGCATAACACTTCCCTGACATATTGATTCCTAAGTGTTACAGTAATCTAATTTTGTGGTGAATGTGTTAGAGTAATTCTGATTATATTGACTGTCTATTAATACTTATAAGGTGAACTAATGCTTTGCTTCATTCTGGGTGGCGTCTCTTTATGTGCAGACTTCCAAAAAGGTAATACTACGAGCATATCTTAGTGCACAGTCGATACCTTTACTCTTGCCTTGTAATTGTCAATAGTTACCTGTAAAATTCCGTGTTTTTTCCACCTATCGATCTCTGTTACTGTTGCAAACCACATCATTGTGCCAGCAACGCGTGAGAAATTTGACACCCAAATTGCGGCTTGTGGTTTTGCAGCTGCAGATACAGATATCTCGTGTTAAGATCCTGTTTTGGAATTCCTAGATATTTTCAAAGTATTAGAATACATAATAAGCCTTTGGGGATAACATAGATTTAAGTTAGGTCTTTGAAAAAGCACGAGATTTGAAAGGGGATTTTTTTACAAAGGTATGACACTTGATGTCATGTGTTTCATTGCTGATCCTTTGAATTTTTGATACTCTTTTAGATGGAAAAAGCAGTTCAAGCAATTGCTGGAAGAGACTGGTTATGTAACACCAGGAAAACACTTGTCTGAAGTGAGAGTGCTGTTCATGGGTCGCGAATGTTTTGAAGCTTTGTCACTTCATGATTGTCAAAAGATTTATGATCAGCATCAGAAGGAGATCATTGAAAAGGCGAAACATAACTTTCAGGTAGTTAATGTTAATTCATATCTGAAATAATTATGAACTTGGGGTGACCCGCTTGAATGAGAATATTGCTTTTACTCTCTCTCAGGAGTTGCTACTCGAGCATGCGGATCTGTTTTATCACTATAAGAGCATAGCTCCGTCCGGAACCATTACTCAGGACGATATCAAGGAGATCACTGACGCTTTGGTCGATGACTTCAGGTGTGTGCTTACTGTCTCTTGTCCTTGTCGTAAGTCAATGGAATTGTATAATAATAAGAAGTGGCCTAGTTCATGATTCATTTCTCTAGGTACAAGGCTCTAGACAGATTGGATCAAGATCGAAAGTTAATGCTCTTTCAGCACTTAGGATTCGTACATTGTCCAATTCGAGAGCACTGCCCGGCGTTTCCTAATTGTATGGATGCCTTGATAGAGCGAATACTGGGAACGAAAGCACACAGGTAAAATTGGATTTTTTTAAAATGCCATTCTTGCTAATTGCAATCAAGTAAATAAATCAATTTTTTGATTGAATAGGCCTTCATCGTGGAATCATAGTAGCCAGTGGCAATTGACTTCAGATAATAATCAGCTGAATTTAGTAATTCTCGGTAGTAATGGACTCAGTGAAGAATTTGCGCGTGAGATCAAAGCTCAAGCTGAGGATGATGAAGTTGAAATCGACTGTCAATTATATACTCTTGGTTACCGGGTGATTGACGGCGATGTCAGTTTACCACACAATTCATTCACCACATCGGACTTCATGCCGCATGGTAAGACACCCTGATTTTGTTAAAAATTCTTAGGTTCCTTAGAGGAAAAAAATTTCTCTTCATAGTGTATCATTTTTTCAGGTTCTTTCTGTATCTATTCTAATGAAGACACTTTTGAGTACATACGGTCCTCCTTGGAGAAGACGCTCTTATCGAATCTCGAACAGGAAGACAGGTTACCCTTTCAGGGGCTGCCGATAGTTATTATGTTTGTACCGGATTCCAATATTGATGAGATGGAAGCCTTGAGACTCCGGGAAGAGGGACAGAATCTCGCTGATAGGTATGGTCTTGGTAATGTTTCGGGCTTGTAGGATTCTAATTAAGATTTTTTTAAAAAATAGTTTGCAGTGTCCTTTCATCGATGTCTGCATGGAGGATTTAGAGCAGGACAAGCGATTTCCAACCCCGTTGGTGAAGGACGCTTTGCAGCAGCTTATACAGTCCATTAATCATCGGGCCGGTTTCCTTAATATTTATCAGAGCGTCATAGAGTGTCTAGAACCAGACATAAGGTAAGTGAGCACAAGCACCCTCGCAAATTATATCTAAGAAGTGGCTTACGGAGTATCGACGAAATATAAAGTTTATTTCTACCGCGCAGGATAATTATGTGCATGTTTTGCGGGGACCCGTACTCAGTAGAAAATGTACTTGGTCCTTTGCTCAGTCATCAATGCTGCTTTTTAAGTGGCGACAGATCCATTGTCCTGGAAACGTTTTTGGGAGAATCAAAGCGACGGGTCGAGGTCATAATTTCAAGTTTCCATGGGGCTAATGCATTTCGTGATGAACTGGTACACGGTTTCATTCTCGTATACTCGACCAAAAGAAAAGCATCCCTGGCAACATTAAAGTACGTTGCCAATTGGTTCAGTAACTTACTGCGAATCTATTAAATAATATCTCTCATTTCTGGCCTTATTTATATTGCAGCGCATTCTCAATGAATATTCCTAATTTACCTATTCAAATAATGGCCGTAACGGACACAGGTGGAGCAAACGCCTTTTTCAGCAATGACCTGAGTCACTTACTCATTACGGAAGGCAATGCAACGGCTGATAGATTACAAGCACACTTTATGACTTCCGCTTCGAGTTGTCAACAAAAAAGTATGTAGGTCGTAAGATCATTGGAAGAATTTTTTCACATTGCATCATTTTACAGCGGCATTCTATACGCCGTTCTTCAAAGAGGTGTGGGAGAAGAAACCGGAAATCGAGCAGGCGTTCAATATGGAGGAACCTGGAAATCTAAATGACAGCGGAGAAGGAACTCTGGAATATTCAGCTTTGCATCCGATGCCCCCACCTAGACATGAAAGTTATCATTTACAAACTCCGGACGACGGGTAAGAAATCTTGGCGCAGATATTTCTGAAATAGACTGGTTATTGAGTCTATTATTTAATTTTGTATTAAAATCTATAAGTTATTCTTACTGTGACTTATAAGTCTAACGTGCAGCAGTATGTCCGTCACTTTTAGGAGTGGATCTGAGTCCTACGAGCAGCTAACTCCTGATGGTGACCTCGGCGAGACAGGACTGAATGAACAGTTTGCCGACAGTCGGGCCACACCCAGTGATGACAGCGATATTTACAGTCAGGTGGATTTCCATCGTGAGGAAAGAGAGCGAGAATTGCTGAAGAGTGGTGATATAGCTAATAAATTATCTGGTGCGTGGCTCTCCTGAACTTAAAGAATCTAAATTGTGGCGAAGAAAGCGATTCATAATGGATTCTTGAAATTTTCATGCACAGGCTGGGTGAAAGATACGTTTATGCATCAAGATGGAGTCACGAACAGCTATTCCCATCGAGCTTTCACTACTGGAAGACGGCATATTTCCCAAGCGAAGCCAAGACCCAAGGGAAATAGTCAGACGCTCAAGCAACCTGGAAAAATAAATTTGAAGGATTTTTCCAATGTAACTGATGCCATAGCCAGGATGACAATTGGCGAAAAAGAAGAACATGGCTCAAAAATGAGTATAGGTCATGCACCTCTAGCCACACCGGAGCTGGTCGATCTGGGTTCGGAATATGCTCAGGTTAAGGATGCTGTACCAAACCTCTACTCGTCATACGATGGAGATTACATGTACACGCTCGTACAGGATTCTATTGGAAACAATAAGTCAAAATTGAGACATCGTCGTGAAAAAGGACAGCCTTGTAAGTCAATAAGAAATTTCATTTATGTTATTCCATTAGAATGATAAATTTGCATTATTGAAGTGATTCTCATTAATGTACAGCCTATAGTGACTCGGATTCCGATTGGAGTTCTCTAGAGAGACAGAGAATCTCTGACGTCTTAGGTAAGATGAATAAGAAACCGTCAACGCACAAGCGAACACGCAAGAAACGAACGGCGATACCAGTGGCGACACCGAAGGTGCCGTCGCTTGCGAGTATGACCAGCGGTGACGGTATCGTCGGTTTGAATTACACTATGAAGGATGACAAGAGTTGGCGAATGGATCCCGCTGAAAGAGGTAAAGTAATAGCGCGTTTTTTTTTTTTTTTTTTTTTTTTTTCC